ATATGTAAATGATACTTTTCCAAAAGCCACAAAAGAATGAATAAGTGAATGAATGAAAAAGAATTTATTAAATACTTAGCATTTGCCAAATGCTGTGATAAGTGCTTGAGATATAAATACAAAAGTGAGACAGAGTTAGCAAGGGTAAAATTTTTCTAGTCTAATAAGTCACAGGAACTGAGTGGAGCCACAGGGAAGTAGATTATCAGGGCCTTTCAGTAACAATGACACTATTTATTTGTTAACTTCTCTAGAGCTGGGGAGAGAAGAATGGAAGAGCATCCATCCTCGTACATGTATAAGGCAGCTGGCAAGATGATATCTGGAGAGGAATGTGAAGCATGGCTGGGGCTCGCTAGATATAGTAAGCCATGTGAGAGAATTACAAAGATAATAATTTCATCTATAAAAATTCCATTACCATAAGCTATTTTTGCAATTAGTCAGTAGGCATAGATGATAGAGTCTTATATTTAAGACTCACTTTTAAAACACATTGGCTGTGTCATTCTGAGCAAAATTTTTAACTAAGATCTCAGTACTCCACACAACTATCTAGTATTGTTAAGTTGCAGAGTAGCTGTTGATCTGAATTGTTAGGAGTTCCCTACACCAATGAAATCACAGATCTGGCCTCCTTCCTCTCTGACCCCAGCCCCCCCAAAATGTTTTTGTTTAATAAACTTTAAAGAAACCTGCGATAAGAAACTTCTTTAATGATGAACTTCTCTGGAATATCTTTTAATATCTTTTTTATTTAATTCTAGATTTAAATGGGAGAAAAGGGGCAAATCTGACATTAATAATACAAGATTGAGAATGAAAATTAACATGAATTTTGTCTAGAAAATATTTAATAAACTAAAATTGCTGCATTAGAATACAACAGAAGTAGATTCTGAAAACTGTAAAACCAGAAGCTAGAATCAGTTTGTGAAATCATTTGAGAAACAGAAAAGATATCAAGACATTCACAACGTAGAAATCCACTTCTCTAAAAACCCAATATTATTGACATTATACCAGAGAAAGCTATAAGCAAATTTTCTATGTCTATCATGTCTGTACTAACTGTTTCTTTCTTATAAAGTCTGATACAATGATTGACTACTCTCAGATGAGAAACTAAACTGTCCTGGGTGAAACTCTTCCATTCCTTGATTCCCCCAAGTACAGAAGGTCATCCCACTGGACAAAATTTCTAAGTTTCCCTTTGTATGTAAAGCACATCAACATTTCTGAGACAGCTCAAAACTTTTAAAAACCTTTTTCTTTTTCTTCTTTCTTTGAATTGCCTTCAGATCCAATTATGAAACAAGAAGAAATCACACTGATTATAGTTAAAACCTCAACATCCTTGTTAGTCTTTATTTAACTATCATCTCTCCTGCCTTTGAAAAATCTCTCTCAGAAGCCCTTTTGAAGTTACAATATGTAACACACACACACACACACACACAAAATTCTTGGACAGTATATACAATTCTACAGTTAATATTAATCAAAGGTTCAGAGTTAAGGTCAGCAATCTCAGAAAATCATTTTCCTTTACCACTCCCTTCTAAGAATTTTCTTTTCTTTTTGGTCGAAGGTAAATTCAATACTTTTTTCCTTCTTTAGTTACTAATCATTACCCTAATCTAGCCAAGGCTAGGGGAAATATGGTACTGCTGTTCAATGGATTAATATTTCATCTTTGTCTAGTAACATCCCCAATGTTGTCATTAGGGAGAGAATAGAGTGCCCCTCTTTAACCTTTACCTAATTTCCTAAAAGACAGGGAAAATTAAAGACTGATAAGAGTTTCCCAGCCATATCAGATAAATGATTTTAGAATTAACTACTAACTTATTATTATTTTGTAATATGTAACCTGATGAGGCAAAGAATGTTTCCATACATCTTTGTATTGGTAAAAATAAAACATGATAACAGAAATAAAAATAATTTAAAAGTATCACTCATAAAAAATACAATTGTTATTTAGTATTCTCAATTGAGGAAAACATTACTACAGAAAGCAGACAACTTTTAGCATTTAAGTACTTGTTTGCATTCTCCCAAAAAGAGAAATGCTACTGCGCTACTTTCTCAACAATAAAACAAAAGGATAGAATACAAATTTCTGTTATGCCAAATTCCTCACAATTATGGAACATACATTTAGCAAGGCTCTGGAATAACCATTTAATAATTTCCTTTTTCAATTTTTAGCTGTTATTTTCAAGCTCTGAAATGAAGTATTAACGTTAAAAAATTTTCTCTAATAATTCACAAGGTTAATCAAAGAAGTGTCCTTGTCTATGAGGCAATTTTATCTGGCATATTTGATTATTAAGATCTATTTAAGGGGCAGCTAGGTGGTGCAGTGAATAGAGCACCAGCCCTGGATTTCAGGAGGACCTGAGTTCAAATCCAGCCTCAGACACATAACACTAGCTGTGTGACCCTGGGCAAGTCACTTAACCCCATTGCTTAGCCAAAAAAAAAAAAAAAAAAGAAAAGATCTATTTAAAGACATGCTTAGGCATCTGCTCATAATTTTCTTCTCAATTTCCTCTTCCTTTTTCTGGATGTACGATATTGATTCATTAACATTGAACACTTGGCCAAAAGCGCTATAATTCGTGCCTGAACAAAGCTTATCTAACACACTTGCATTTTTGCTGAGAGGCATGTCACATTTTTCTTATGCTTATGAACAACAGATAGCAACTTGATCATAACACTTGGGGGCTATTTTAAACAGCAAAACTACCAACAAAAAGCACAAAAACACAAAAAAAAATCTTGCACTAAGTTAGACAGTGAAAAGGATTTACAGTACGAGAGGTGAAACAAGAGGGCAGAGCTTTACTTTGTTCAAAATCAGCTGGGAATATACTTAGGTCACTCAAATTTTTCACCACTGTGCATGTCTGCAAATATCCATGACAGCGGTATTGATTTTAGGGTTACAAATGAATTTTAGTGAGGATAATGATGATGATGATGATAACTAACATTTCTATAGCACTTACTATGTGCCAGACACTATACTAAAGCACTTTCCAACTACTGTCTCATTTGATCTGCACAACAACCCTGCCAGGTAGGTGATATTATTATCCCTCCCTCTTGTCTCTCTTCCCTGAGAGGGTAAACAATCTGATATAGGTTATACATGTGCAGTTATGTAAAACATTTCCATATTAGTCATTTTGTATAAGATGACTCAAACAAAAAAAAAAATGAAAGAAAGAAAGTGAAAAACAGCATACTTCAATCTGTATTCAGACAATATCAGTTCTTTCTCTGGAGGCAGACAGCATGTTTCGCCATGAGTCCTTTGGGATTGTCTTGGATCATTGTATTGCTGAGAACAGCTAAGTCAAAGAATGGACATTTTAATGAAACAAAAGACTTCCAAACCTTCCTGATATAAAGACTGGGACTGAGTAGAAACTTTGAAATACAAACACGAGAACAAAGAGAAACATAAAAAGGTAAAATATATGTAAGCAATCAGGAAAAAAAAAACTTTATAAGGATGCAGTGTTTCCACTCTAACTGGGAAACGGGGAAAACGTGCAAATGTCCTGAAGAGTCAAAAGGATTCATGGAGTCAAATAAAATGGAGGACTTGAATTTTTGTCATGTTTTGATGATCTTAAAAGCAAAAAAGGAGAGGGACTTACTTTCTCACATAATAGGGGACACAAGTAGAAGTGTGCAGACAAGGAAAGGGTAGGGAGAATGCCATTTGAAACTCATTTTTAAAAAAATGCTAAATGAGCAGAACCAGAAGAACAATTTATAAAATAACAACATTGTAAAAAAAAATGAACAATTTTGAATGACTTCAAAACACTTATCAATCCAACGATCAACCATTACTCCAGAGGATGGGTGATTTAGAATATTACCCAACTCCTGACATAACCTCCTAAGAGGTGATGAGACTAGATATGCAGAGTGAGACATTCTTTCTTGGACATAGCTAATTTGGAAATATGTTTTGCTTGACAACTGGCATTTGCTACTAGGGTTTTTTTTTCTTTCTGTTCTTCCCTTGTACCCTACTAAAGGGGATAAATTGGGAGGTAACAGCAAGAGAAATCAGATGTTTATTAATTGCAAACAATAAATAATGAATAAAATAAAATTCAATTTAAAAATTTATTAAAACTTGGTCTAATTTATACATTTAGTCTTTTTTTGTTTCTTTTTAGCAGAGTACTATTTTTGCTAACTTGTGTTTAATTCTTCTATTTTAAAAACTGGAATTAAGAGTGGTATTATGAAAAGGAATATTATTCTTTAACTCCCAAAAGTACTAAATAGTAAATTAATCAGTACAATAAATGTTACTATATATTAATCTAAAGAGTCTTCAATCTTACTATTTGCTATATTGTTTTAACTTCTACCCATTTCTTAGAAAGGTAGAGAAACATCTTTGTAAGACCCAAAAATGCTGAATGGTTTCTGGGAAGGGGGAAGAGAAGAATTACTAGGTGAAGTCCCTGCAATATAAAAAACAAATATCAAAAATTTATTTTAAAAAAGAAATACTTCTATGCATAAATGTCAATATATCCAATGCCTCCATTCATTTTCACAATCTTATACTTATTTCCCTTCATGTGACAAATGCACAAAAGAATATCCTCATAGTATCAGAGCTGGAAGGGAACACAGGAGCCACATAGTAAAATTCCATCATTTACAGATGAAGAAACTAAGGCACTGAAAGATTATGCTACTTGCCCAAGCTCACACATGAACTACGTAGCAAAGCTAGGATGTGAGCCAATGTCCTTGGACTCAAAATCCAACATTTTTTCACTAGATCACACTGCCTTCAGAAATAAATGGTAAAACTTCTAAGATCATTGGCAGTCACTTTTATAGTAAAAGTTAAAATGAACATAAGGGGAAAAATATTTTGACTACAAGGACGAATTTCCTTTTTATACAAAAAAGCTACTGCCTTTCAAAAAAAACCACTAAATTCATACCTGCACCAGGAATGATGGCTAATTTTGTTTCGACCAATCCCATTTTAGCAGAAGAGGCTATAAAACAAAAGAAAAACAAAATCTGAAGTAAATTTTTATTACATTAAGAAGTACATAACAAAAGATTTTAGAACAATTTGATAAGTCACTAAAATGCCTTACAATTACATAAAAAAGCATCTGACTACGTAAATATCCCAGTGAAGTTGTACATATTTAAAGACCCAAGCAACTCTCTCAAATGAGAATAGTTAAGTGTTAAATAATTATTATATACAAGATGACTACTAAAGTGAGTTAATTATAAAGTCTGATAACTTGTTATATGAAGACAGAGAAATGAGACTATCTCTTGTGATTCAGAAGGACTGTGAGCTAAGATAAAGGTCTGTTTCTAATGACAGTGAACAGTTTAATTGCTTTAGGGTCAAACAATTTAATATACTATTTATTTTTATGTTTTTAAAGGCATTTAAATTTTAAAGGCATTATATTCTTTTTTAAGTTTTATGTATTTTTAAAAATTTTATTACACAAAAAATATAGTATGATTTTAAAATATAATTTAATGTAATTTTAAAAATACAAATGGTACCCACTTTAGATCCTATGCATTTAACATATTTAAAAAATATTCCCCATTCATTACCAATAATAGCAAAATCAATAGCAGTCCTACCTTGTCAAGGCAATACATTGAAATGTATGTATGTACACACACATCCATAAATACATAATCTACCTATCCATTCATCCATCTATCTATCTATCTATCTGTCTGTCTGTATTGTTTTTTAGTAGCAAGTGGATATAGTACATTTTTATCATTCCACTTGGGCAGTGTGGTTAAGAGCTGGTGATTAACTGAGCACATCACTGCACAAAAATAAATTATACTGAAATAAATGCATATCATACCATAAATATTCTTTATTTTTTGTTTCTTTCATCTTCTAATGTCTTTTCTGTTATAATAACTTCTCCCAATTGAGTAAATGTTAAAACAAAACATAAAAAATAAAGCCCTTAATACACATGCACAGTTTAGCAAAAACAAATTCCCAAATTAATCACATCCAAAAATGTGTGTCTCTTCATTTTAAGTTAATCACCTCTCTGTTAGAAAGTGACTGACATGTTGCATATTTATTTTTTGGACTCCCAGTTTATCACTGATCAGGTTTCTAAAGTCTTTCAAAATTGTTTTTCCCTATAATGTATCATTGTATACTATAAATTTTTCTCCTAGTTTCACTTGCTTAGCTCTGCATCAGAACAATTAAGTATTCTTTAGCTGCCAGAATGTTCCCCTACAACCAAGCAACTTAACTATTTAGAAGACTTACTAACAATTTCTCAGGACCAATATCCACTTACTTTTCAACAAAGGGTTTCTATAATACTAAGAGCTAAATAAGTCAAGATTCCTTTTTTCATCACCTATGGATACTTTTATAACATCTTAATTTTTTTTTAACTGATATACCCACAGACAACCTATTTTCAGAATCTGTTTATTATAGTTGATAACACATACAGTTTTTTAAAGTTTAATTTCAAGAGTTAAAGTCTAAAAATGTTAAAGAAAACAACCAAAAGAAATGAATGCCAAAATAAACAAGATGACGGGGAGAGGGGGTAAGCTTTTTTATCTTTCTCTATATCACTAACAGCACCTAGTAGACACTTAATAAATGCTTGTGGACTGACTAAATTTTTAAAAAGGCATTAAATAATATGAAAGGTATGTGACCTCTACTTTCAGAAAAGACTGTTCAGAGGTGGAAAATACCAGAAAGGAAGGGGGAAAGGAGGAGAAAGAGATTATGAAATAAAGTGAAGCAGTGGATAGGGGATTCATTAACAACTCATTTTTTTCAATATTTTATAAAAGTACTATTTCCCTTCATTTCCCGTGTAAGTTTTAAAGTTGTAAAGGAAACCATAACAAACAGGAGAGGGCAGCTCCACCAAGCCAAGAGATGGTAATGATTAGTCAAGAACATAACCAGAATCAATGTGAGGACATGTACTGTGAATTATTCAACTTTTTGCCCTATACAGTGCTTAATACAGAGGCTTACAAAGGGTAGGCAATCAATAATTGTTTTTTTTTTTTAAATAAATGGGAGATAAAAGATGGAAACGGAAAATAATGTTAAGACTGACTATAGAACTTAAAGTAAAAGTGAGGTTAAGAATAAATCTTTTTACCCAGATATTTCACTACTAGGCATATACTCCAAATAGGTCACTAATAAAAAAGAAAGGCCCCATAAATACTGCAAAATATTTAAGGCAGGATTTTTTGTGGAAAGTAGAAACAAAGTAGATATCCACAGAATGGGGACTGGCTAAACAAATGGTGGCACAGGAATGTAATGGGATGTTACTGTGCTATAAGAAACAATGAATATAATGAAAAAAGGGCAGGGCAGATGCAAAGTGAAGTAAATATAGCCAAGAAAACAATACACACAATAAAAGCAATAATGTAAATGGAAAAAGCAACCATAAAACAATGAAAAATGAATGTTATAAATTACAAATAAGCCTGATTCCAAGAGATATGAAAAGAAACCTCTCCCCATTTCTTTCCAGAGGTGGGGAAGGGGACCCATAGAAGTAGAACCCTACATATATTATCAAGATTTTTTTCAATGTATTGGAAGGTTTTCCTAATTTTTTTCTTCTTCTTTTTTCTTTTAAAAAATTATTTATTATATGATATGGGGTAGTTGTCTGGGATGGAGAAGGCAAAAGAAAAATTTAGACAATGTAAAATCGGACAAATGGAAAAATTAGAAATTGGAAAAATCTCTAATAATTTTGGAATAATAAATAAATAAATAAAAATAATGAAATTGGAAAAAATTAGACAATGTAAAAACATATGTATCTTTAAAATTTATTTCATAAGAAGAAAATAACATGTAGAATTTTAAAAAGCAAGCAGTCTATAAATAGAGATTTGCAGTATTTTATATATATATATATGTATATATAGAATTTTTTTTGTTCTACTTTGTATACAGAAATATATTTTCTTTGTGTTTGTGTTAGTTATATTAAGAATTTTTTAAAATTAAGATTTAAAAAGATACAAACCACCCAAAAAAGTGGCTCAAGTTTAGTGGTCAGTATTTTCTTAGCTAGACTCCGTGCCACACCTAACTTATCATCCTAAGAAATCCAAATATAATCTAGCCCATCAGGAAGGCTGTAACTAAATTGGACTCAAAAAATTGAATATAATATTTTGGGAATGAACTGAAAATAAACATAATTTTTGACAACATCCTTCCCAGAGTAAGAATGAGTTTAGTCTTTACATGCTCTATTTTAACAGGCCATATTCATAACTGCTAAAAGGGCAGCTAGGTGGCACAATGGATAGAGTGCCAGGCCTGGAGTTAGGAAGACTTATCTTCGTCCTCAGACACTTACTAGCTGTGTGACTGACCTGGGCAAGTTACTTAATACTATTTGCCTTAGTTTCCTCATCCGGAAAATGAGCTGGAGAAGGAACTGGAAAACTGCTCCAGTAACTTTGCCAAGAAAACCTTAAATTGGGTCACAGAGTTGGACACAACTGAAATGAATTAGCAATAACAACAACAATTCTTACCTGCTACTCTTATGTCACATGCTAAAGCCAACTCCAGGCCACCACCCAATGCGATCCCATCTATTGCTGCAATAGTTGGCACTGGAAGATTAGCTGTAAGAAAAAGTAATATTTAACATTTTACCAAAAAACAAAACAAAACAAAAAAAGTGAATCACATTACTTAAATATTCATTTAACATTTCAATAAAAACATAGTTACATAGTAAATGAAACTATATTACTAACCAGTAATAATAGTCAAATTTATTAGTTACTAAACATTATTAAGCTTAAAACAAAATTATATTTTACATGAAAAGTCTTAAAAAGCTTAAGATATTATAGTGGGTAGTACATGTAATCCTCAGGTCTTGGATCTAAGGTGCTGACTAGGCCACATGCAATTGTTAGAAATCCAAAACACATAAGAAGTACCTACTTATGACTATTTAACATAAAGAACCAAAACAAGTATATATGAGTACTACAATAGGATATTGTCCTTTAGAGAAATTCAGCCTATTCAGTTACCAAATTAGGAAATAGAATCCTACCCACTTCAAGGATTGGTTAAATGCAATAAAGACTGCTTTTGGTAATGTGACATATCTCAAATAAGCCAGCACTGAGGAGAGAACAGAACACTCTATGAACCTGAAGAAGTCCTCAATCCCACATAGGCAGCTGTTGCTACTCTGCTAGGCCCTTCTCTGGAGGAAACTTAGGGAAAACAATTGACCTGAGAGGTTGTATTCATCAAAATCAGTTCCTGCAGGTATCCTTGCTGATATTATCTAATAAAATATTTGTTCTTTGTTTTGCCATTTGCTTAGTTGACTGAATCAGTACTGGAAAGGGTAGCGAGGGAAGCTGTGTTAGGAGGGAGCCAGGTTTCAACGAGTACAAGAACTTGGAGGGAGTGAAAGAGGAAAAAGTTTTAAGATGAAATCTAATTTGTTAGCTCTGAAGCAGCAATTTCCAAGAATTCAGTGGAAGAGTTGGGTAGCTCTAGAGTGGGAGGTTGAGAGATTGTGTTCGGGGGAAGACAGAAGGGGATAGGAATAAAGATGTACGCTGCCTCAGGCTTGAACAGTGAAAACTAGGAATTTGAGATCACCAGGATGGTTTTGATGGGATGGTTATAATAAGATGGAAATATGTTAATCACTGAAGAAAGAGGTCTGCTAAGTTATCATTTTCTATTTTTCCTTTTTTAAATTTTTTTTAAGTTATCATTTTCCACAGGGGACAGCTGGTTCTTGCATAGCAGACCTGATCTGTTGCTGGAATGAACTCAGTTTTACTAGCTTGCTAGAACCTGTCAGTAGAACAGATTAGGAGCACAACATACAGAAGAAAAAGAATATAGCAATATGAACCTTGATAAATTCAGACTCCACTTTACTGAGATTAGGACTTCCTATCGGGCAAAAAACTTGACAGCAATTTGACTGAAATTAGATTTAAAATAATAACTTACAACACCTACCAAGGAAAGCAGGGAGGAAGAAAAAAAAGCATTTATTAAGTGCTACTATCTGCCAGGCTCTGTTGCTAAGTGCTTTACATATATTATCTCCTTTAATCCTCACAACCTTAAGAGGTAGATGTGCTATTACCCTGATTTTACAGTTGTGCAAGCTGAGGCAGAAAGAAGTTAAGTGACTTGCCTAGGGTAACACAGCTAGTAAATGTCAAGCAGAATTTGAACTCGGATCTTCCTGACTCCAGACCTAGTGCTCTTCTCTGTACTACACAGCTGCCTCAAGATAAGAGCCAAACAGATTCATAACAGACATAAAATATCCTATCATAAATCAGGAGAAGAAAGGAGGTACAAAGTACATTGAAGATCTATGTATAAGGGAAGCATTCATGATTAAACAACAGAAAGGGAGGATCACAAAAGAATAAACAGGCACTTTCTATGAAATAAAATTAAAGTTTTTGTACAACTAATACTAATAATGACAATAATAATTAGCATTTATAAATCAGCATTTATAAAGTAGCCATGTACTACTGTAATTTGGAATTATTACCTTATTTAATCCTCACAAAAACTCTGTAAGATAAGTGCTATTATTACCACCATTTTACAGATAAGACAACTAAGGCAAACAGACTTTAAGTGACTTGTTCAAGGTGACACAGCTGGTTAAGTGTCTGAGGACAGAGTTTAATTCTAGTCTTCCTGACTCCAGACCTCACTCGATCCACTGTGCTACCTAGATGCTAAAACCAACACAGCTAAGGTCAGAAGGAAAACAGTTAACTAGGAATGTTTCTCTGATACTTCTAATTTCCATTAGGAACTGACTCAATTTTTTTAAGAATAAGAGTCATTTCTCAATTGATAAATTCACAAAGTATGAAGAAGTAGTTCTCAAAGGAAGAAATTCAAATTATCAATAGCCATATAAAAAATTGTCCCAAGTCACATTAGAAAAATGAAAATTAAAGCGATATTTAATCAAACTGGCAAAATTAGAAAAAAAATGACTAATGGGGGAGGAGCTAAAAGAAAATAAGCACACTGGGTAGAGTTGTGAATGGTTCCAGTCTTTGAGTAAAACAATTTGTAACTATGTCCCAAGTAACTGACCTGTATAATCCTTTGACACAGTAATACTAGTAGGCCTATACTAAAAGAGATCAAAGAAAAAGAGGAAAAGATAGATATATACAAATAATTATGGAAGCTCATTTTGGAGTGGCAAAGAACTGGAAACAGGGGAATGACTGAATATATAATGGAATAAAGAAATGATTAAAGGTGAAGTTTTAGATAATCCTGGGAAGGCTTGCATGAATTGATGCACAGTAAAGTGAGCAGAAAAAGGAAAATAATGTATACACTAATAACATCATTTTAAAGACAAACAACTCTCTGAAACACTTAAGAAATCCAATCAATGCAATCCCCAATCATTATTCTAGATCGGTCCAATGTTAAAGAAAATTATCTACTCAACTGAAAGAGGTGATAGAGGCAAGGTGCAGAACAAGACATTCGTTTTTGGAAGTGACCAACATAGAAATTTGTTTTGCTTCATTAAGAAAATGTGCTATAACATTTTTTTCTTCTTTGTTTCCTTCTGAATTGGAAGGGGGAGGTGGGAAGGGGGGGAGAATAATTCAGTGTTTGTTAATGTGTAAAAAAGGTGAAGTATATTAATAGGGATGGTTTATATGCAAAAAGTATATTAAGAGGGAATATAAAACAGGAAAACAAGTTGGGTGAATCATCTAGTGAGATCAAGTCATTAACAGCCCAACTGTTAACATTAATATTTACAAAGTACTCAATATTCTAGATCAGAGATTCTTTAAACATTTTTTGGGTCATGAACATGTTTTGGAATCATGTGAAGCCTACTGACTCCTTCTCAGCATAATCTTTTTAAATGAATAAAATAAAATACAAAGAATTACAAAGGAAACAAATTATACTGAAATATAGTAATCAAAATAGTTTTTTTTAAAAAACAGATGCCCTGAAATCTATCCATGGATGCCACGTTAAAAACATCTGTTCTAGATGCAGACCTCTAGTGCCTAATATTGTTGGCCTCCAGGCCACATGTGGTCCTGTAGGTCCTCAAGTAAGGCCCTTTGACTGAATCCAAACTTCACAGAACAAATCCTGTTAATAAAAGGATTTGTTCCATAAAACCGGGACTCAGTCAAAAGGCTGCACCCAAGGACCTAGAAGGCCACATGAAACCTCGAGGCCGCAGATTCCCCACCCTTGGTCTAAGCTTTTCCAAAGACCTCCTAATAGATCTACCTGTTTCAAGTCTCTCCACTCTATTTTCCCAAAAGCTACCAAAGGGATATATTGATAAACACAGATCTGACCATGTCACTCCCCTACTCAGAAACTTCCAATAACTCTAGAATAAAATATCAAGTATTCTGTTTAGCATTTAAAGCCCTACACAACCTGTCCCGAGCCTCATTATACATTGCTTCCCTTCCCACACTCTCAGTTGCAGCCAAATTGGCCTTCATTCTATTCCTCACACATGGCACTCGATCTCACTTCTCTTTGTATTTTCATTTGCCATCATCCATTCCAGTAACGCCCTTCCTCCTCACCTTTGTTTCTGAGAATCACCCTATTCCTTCAAGACATTTCTCAAATACCAGTTTCTACTTGAATTTTCTCTTTATTTTCCCAACTGCAGGTGGCTTCCTTCTCAATGACTCTGTCCATATTTTATGTGCTCTCTCTCTCACACACACACACACACACACACACGCACATGCACAAACACACCTACATTTATTTATTCTCCATTTGCTTATATAAATTCATATTGTCTCCTTCAATAGAGTATAATCTCTTAGAGGGGTGTAGGGCATATTCAGGGAAGACTGGTACCACTGATATGAGAGCTTCTGGGCTGCTTTCCACCTTTGGTATCCACATGATTCATTCAACTCAAACCTGTGGCTCCAAGAAGCTATAGAATGCACAGCAGCCACACACCAGTAAGCCATTTTGGCAGATGGACTAAACCTGGTTGAAGGTTACTGAGGGGTCCCAAACTCTTCAGTGAGTCAGGGAGGTGTCTACCCAAAGCATACAAAGACTTCCCCCAGGGGAATGAGTGGATGAGAGCAATTTGTTCCAACAGCCATGAAGGCACCTGAAGCAGGCACTGTAGAATGCTTGAAACTTAGTTAGACAGCAAAGATGCCAAGGTCATCCACTGCATCTCAAGCCATCATCAGTCATCTTGACATTGTCATGCTACTCTACTTTGATGACTCTGGAAGACAAGAGTGAAGCCAATGACTTTGCACAACTCTGCCTTACTTAAATCCAACTTATGTGCAAATCAAAAGACATTGCCTGCATCATTTAATCATTTTAACATATTTCAAAGTCCTTTGGTAACAAGCAAGTGATGAAGCAGCAGGTGCAGATACAATGGGAGCTGCAGTCACAATTCTGCACAATGACAACCCAGACCGTAGCATCATCTTCTCACTAGATTGATGCAGCAATAACATTCAGCAGAGTGTCTGAGCAGTCTTTTAAGGACTGAGCTGCTCACCTCCTTGGATAAGGAAGGGGCTAGAAAAGATGCCCTAAAAATTGG